TAGTTTTGGAGTAAGAAATCAAGTAATACATTGGAGTAAAATCTAATTCTATTTTGGAGTTACTCTATTTTAGAGTGAAAAATAGAGTGATACATTGGAAATGCTATTAGGATTCGAGTTACAATTGGCGTGCAAAGTAATCATTCGGGTTTATATTCCGTCATAGGTTTCGATCCAAGAATTAATTTTTAGAAAACATTTTACCAAGAAACATAGTTATAGTGACAATCTGGATCAAATACGAGTATTAATATCCATTAACCAACCAAGTTAGAACGAATGCCATATATGACATTTCACTAGTATTAATTAAGAAATATTCAATTTTTGTGAACTCCCAATTATGTACCGCGCGCATGCATGCATCAGAATTTAATTATGAAATTTAGAAGAATCTGAATAGGGTTCTTACTTCTTAGTAACTTCTAGTAGAAGGAAACCTCGTGAAATAACACACGTGATTTTGAAACTATTATAGTTTAAAGTTATTCCTATGATCACTTTTTTCAGATAGTTCTATTTACATTTGAATGAAACTTATTAATTATTATGTATTGGACAACTAAAACATCATGAACTTTTGACATAAATGATCACTTGTAGTTGGTCCACAAAACGTAAGTCACCGTTCCGCAAACATAGCACCTTAAAATTCGAATTGTGTGTGTATTTGTATTTGTATATATGAAGGTTGTAATATATGCGTCTAATTGCATGATTTAGACAATGTTCAAAATGTTTTGAAAACCAGACCGGACCGACCAGTCTAATCGAGAATCGGTTACTTAGCCGGATCCAAGTTGAGTTAAAACTCGGATTGGAGTTAAACCGGTAAAATCGGCAAAACTGGTGAACCGGTTCTATTGTTAAAACTGGGTTCCCAAAATTTAAGTCAAAATTTTAAGTTTTTTAGTCAAAAAAATTTAAACAATAATTTATAATCACTATTAATTTACTTTCAAATTTATTTTCATTTTGTATTTTAAACAAAAACAAATGTTTTATATACAAAATAGATTAAAATCTTGTTACGTACATATTTTAATGATAATTATTACATGATAAATT